TTCATTAGACCCTGACCGGCAAGGAAATCGAAATCGATATTGAGCCCACAGATAAGGTGGATCGCATCAAGGAGCGAGTGGAGGAGAAGGAGGGCATTCCGCCCCAGCAACAGCGTCTTATTTTCTCCGGCAAGCAAATGTGAGTTTTCCTGGGCTATTAGTCATTGATCTTAACTAATTTTGTATGCAATCCCATTCCAGGAATGATGACAAAACCGCGGCGGACTACAAGGTGCAAGGCGGTTCGGTCCTCCATTTGGTCCTGGCCCTGCGAGGCGGTGATTCCATCCTGATACCTTGTCTATAACTAGCCTGTTGATAAGCGGAAAACATTCATTTACAATTCACTCAAATATATTAAGCTTGAGAAGCATCATATGGAGAATTATATATGTAAACTATAAAATCAGTCTGAAAAGTGGTTAAACAGAGAGAATAAACAATAGAGAAAATCGGATCAAATTAAGAGCATTTGTCGGTATACCCCCGTTGAAGACCAGATTTAAAAAGGATTAAAAATGCATTTATTTGGGTATCAGTGGCAGTTTCCAAGTTCAGTTCTGTTTAACAAAACGTCCGACTAGCAGGTGATTCTTTGGCGTGCACTGCTCGGGCTTCAAGCGCGTGAGGATGACCTGGTATCCCGCCTCCTCCGCCTGCAGCTGGCGATCGGTGTCAACCACGGACATGCAGTGGAGTCCCTGCAGCGTGGTCTCCGGCTTGCAGTTGGTGGTGCCCATCTCGTGCGCCTGGTCCGCCGAATGGGCAATGTACAAGTAGTCTTTTGTGCCCAAAACCGTTTGGAACGCTTCGCTCAGAGGGTACGAAATATGAGGCATTGGCTGCAGGGATCCATAGCAGCAGGGACAGCAAACAAAGTGTGCCATTGCCCTCCGGCACTGCTGCAAAACGATATCCGTGGCAGTTCCACAAGCGTGCAGAGATGCCCCGATCTCGAATTCTCCCACAAAGTAATCTATATTGCATTGGTAGAAGACACAGTTGGTCAGGCCCAGTTCGAGAGTCCTCTTTTGGGCTTGGAGCAGAGAGAAAGCTTTGTTTTCCATCACAATAATGGTGCACTTTGGAAGTTTCAGGGCAAGCAGAATGGCCAAGTGTCCTGTGCCGCTGCAGAAGTCAACGATGCGATCGCCTGGCTGCGCCAAGGAAACCACCGCGTTAGCCATGTTTTCCAGCTGCTGCCGCTTGCGCTCGAGTCGTTCCTTGGGCAATGCTGAACTCTTGGCGTGTGTGGGCTCGATCTGCTCCCAGTCGATGAGCTGCTGTCCGTAGGTGTGTTCCGAATCCGAGTTGAACTGCAGCTGCAGAGAGGATAGCTTTCCTAGAGCCGCTTCCACCTCCACCTGACTGGTATAAATGCGATTCCTGGGCTTGTATCGCTTGGGATCGGCCTTGTACAGACTGGTGGCCTCGCAGTCCGGAATTCCGAGGTCTCCGGGAGGGGTCCTTACTGCCTGTGGCACATATATCTCTTTCAGGATCTTGGCGCACTTGTCATCGAAGGTATCGATCTGAAACAGATAGTTCTTTAGGTACCACTCTAATCTCTAAATATTCTATATTGACCTCACTAAACCAAGTACTCGTGAGTGGAAAATGGGGCAGCATCTGCCCGCAATGCTGGAAGACTATCCGTAATAGAGGATACAAGATGAGATCAGCAATTGTGAAGCTAATGCCCTCGGCGAATCGGTGTTCAATAAGCAGCTCCTCCTTGGGTGTGGTGCACTTGATCTGCACTCGCTCCCGCTTCTTGACTTTGCCGCCATTCTCTGTCTGATTGGCCTGCTCCCTGGCCTGCTTATAGATGTTGTGCATCCTGACTGGTTCGTTCATATGTTGCTCAAATCTCACCACTTCTGGTGGGACAGCATCCAGAATTAAACCATTGTGAAGATTACTGACAACGTTTACTACATCCACCTCACAGAATCTGGTCCAAATTGAAGCTTCAGACGGAGCCAAAAGGCAGCTGCCCTTGAAGCCCAACAGTTGCTGTAGTTCTTCATTCGGTTGCCTGGCTATAAGTTCCCTGAAATTAAAGAAATATATTTGAAGATATTCCATTATTAAGAATTTATAGAAGAAATAAGAGTTAAAGCGAGCTAGTAAGCATATATGTAATAAATAAGTTAAGTTCAATGAGGACTAACCTGCAGACAGCACAGGTTCCTGCTATGAAGGTATTTCCATCCTTCTCATAAATAGGAAGTTTCAAATTTCGAATGGCGGGCAACGATGCGGCTTCCCTGCACGTGATGTGCTGATCAGTCAGCTCCTTCTTCAGCTGGGAGCTTCTTAAAGCTATTTTACCACCTTCGATCTTAGGGGAGAGATGATTAACATGCTTTCTCCAAGCCAACGAATAAATATTCAATCTCAAACCTTTGTAGACACGAAGTTCACCCGCACATTTTTCGGATCGTTCAGAAACTTGTACGTAAACAAGGCCAGGAATGAGGAGACACTGGTGTAGATGGTGGTCTCCTTCTGGGTACTGATCTCGATCTCCAGGTACAACTGATCCATAGTTTCATTAACGGATCATTAAAACAAATTGGGAACTAAACAAAACCGAAAATAAAATAAACGGCGAGGAAATATAATAATAAGCCAGCTGGTTGGGGGGGAGGGGGCAAACAGAAGGAAGAAGAGAGATTGACATTCACCTGTCGTCGTACAGAGTGGCTAATCACTTATCGATTGTTTAGCAACCTGCTCGAGTGCGCACTATTTAAATGTAAAGTTTTGGTTACTACTTGCGGGTCTTTACTTTCTTTTGTATTGCAGACAATTTAGATTATATCTTCAAATATAGCAATAAATTAAATTTCCGTTTGTGTATTGTTTTTTAAGTTTAATTCACAATCTTTTTAAAATTGTTCAAGATCTATCTTTAATATCAAGCAACGAATCCCTGCTACGCTTATAGGAAGAACTTTTTGAATTAAATAATATAATATAATAAAATATTATCATAGATGTCGTTTTAAAACAAGGATATTAACTTTCACGGGAATTTAAACATTCAACTCTTAAGTAAAATATCATGTTATGAATTTGTTCGCTTCAAGTACGTTTCTTAATAATGTATCTTAAAATCATAGCCATAGTTCCTACAATCCTTTTTGAGTTAACCAAGACTCGTTCCGGTCCGCCTTAACCCATCCTCTTTTTGACCATCCTCTTTTTTTAGTTTCTACCATTCCCATTCTTGTTCCCACCAACTCTCCCCTTTTTGCCGTGTTCCCATTGCCGATGGCTAAAAATAAAGAAGTTCTTGTTGCCGCCGTTCTTCTGGCTCAGCAAAAAGGGCAACATAATTCTTGGCATACACTTCCCTTGCAACTGGTCTTAACTCTTTTGGGAATGACTTGGTAGAATTGAAAATACATTTTTTAAAATGCTTTTTAACCTTTGATTTCCCATTCGAGTGATTTTAACCAAAATGATTAAGTTTAAAAAACATCCCTTAAACGAACTCCAATGTTTATGGCAATCCGAATACTTAAATATTTTACTATTGGTATACCATGAAAATATCATATATCTAAGTTTCTCAAAGTGACTTTAACCTTATAGGTGATTTCTGTTGATATGGATACCAACATTATAGGTAGAGGTCACACTGGACGAAAGTTGTGGATACTAAGGAAGGGTGAGCAGGTAAAACTGAAGGGTATTAACCGCCTCATTGCTGACGAGTTAATTTTAGCCATTTCGAGGAACGATGGGCCCAAGGAATGGGGAATGGGCATAAGGTAATGGTAATGGCGATGGGGAATGGGAACTGGGGAATGGAGGAGGCAGTCCGACTGAATGTTGGACTGTTTCATTTACCTGCTGCACTTTGCTGCTTGCCTGCTGCAATTTCTAATCGAAACGAAACCTTCTACCCTAATGATGGCCTCGGGAAATAACCTTGGCCCTTTGTTAGCTGAAAAATCGGAGTTTCGCCTCGCGAGATAATCACTTTTTGGAGGGAGAACTTGATGGTAACATGCAACATGCTGCATCGCTGAGTTTGTAATACTGTTCGCCTGCTCGAAGTTGTTCCGTTAAAATCTGTGCGCTAGGGCAGAGGCCACAAAATGTTGCACAAAAGTCCAGGGGAGCAACATAAAAAGGGCCAACAGCAGTCGTCTCCCTTGCACTCGCCCACTCTGGGCGGGCCCTTCGCCAGCGATATGCAACAGTCCAACACTCAGTCCCTCTCGCTCTGGCTTAGAATTCTTTTTCGCTTGGAAGTGTCATGGGGAATATGTAGCATGGGAAGAGGCATGGGAATATCGGGAAGCGGTTGGAAGGGGGTGTTTTGCTCTGCTGCTCGAACTGCTTCTGATGTCGCTTTCCAGCGCTGCTGCTCGCCTGTTCCCGGACACCATCGAAATTTCACATGTATTCCCACGGCCTGAATTTTCCCATGAAGAAGAGGAAGAGGATGGGGAGAATTTCAACAAGAGACAGCCGGAGAATCGCTCACACACACACTCTGCCTCTTTTTTTTCCATTTTTTTTCATTGTTGCATTGAGTCTGCTCCCAGGGTCGGTGCACTGAAAAAGATTATCCCTTTAGTCCTAATATCGAGGAAGGATTTTCGCATGACAGCGAGGGATGTATGTGTTTATTCACATTTCTTCTGGTTAAATATTTTCTCTTACGGGAATTACATTCTTCTAAAATTTGATTAGTAACTCCGTTTAAAAAATAATACAAATATTAGTAGTAGAGAAATATTAAAATGCTAAGTAGTGTCACTTTCACATGTTTTTACAAATTTAGCTTACTTTGGATGTTTATTAAGCTTTACAAATGTTGTAATACCGTTAATTTCTATTATAAGAATCCTTCTTAAGATTAATTTTTTATAGATTCGGAATCAATAAATTAATAAGTAAAATAGTTAAAACTATTTGTACTTTAATATTACAAATATAGATTCGTCATCTTGCAATTACTTAAAAGTTCGCGACATAAGTTTTGCCAAGTGCACAGTTCTTCCGTTCCACCAGATCTGCTGGTCGTTTTGTTTATGCTGCTGTTGCTGTTGATGCTGTCCCTTCTCGTATTCCCATGCCCGGCTCCTCCTCCTCCCGATCCATGGCAGCGCCTCAAGTCCAGACTGGTCCTGGTCATGGACCCTTGTCCCTCTTCGTACCTTACTTGTGCATCCGCTCGGGTTAACATCTTCTTCATCTGCCTCGCTCGGAGTCGTGTCCGTCCCCGGCATCGAATTCCTTTGGTGACCAAGTCTGGCTTCTTTAACCTCTCCTTGCCAAGCCATCTTCTTCGTCTCAGGCACTGTGGATTGCGAGTAGAAAATAATACCAAGTATTATTATTTATCTACTAAGAATTTTATTTATTAATATATTCACTTACTTGCAATTCCACATCTATCAAAAAAGAATCGGAACATAGGGTTTACCAACTTCTTCTCAAGGGAGGCGTCCATAGGCGGTACAAGAAGGAACCAATGGCCGAAATCAGAGTGGTGGTCACATGCACACTGTATTGCAATGGTACGTATAGAAACTCAAGACCCTGAAGAGGATTTGGTCGTATCGTATGAATATTGGAAACCGGTACTATGGCCATGGTCGGGAGTGCAAGGATTACAAGAAGAAGAGGATTTTAAGCAAAACTTGTGCCTAAAACATATAAAATATAAAATTTGAAAACCAAATGAAAGACTTTCTAAAAGTGAAGCAAAATGAGAAGGTAATACCTACATATTTACATATAAAAACAAGGTAATATTTCTATATCCATCTGTTGAAGATATTGTGTACCTCTTAAGCTCACTGTGCCCCACCAAAAGCGGCCTTGGTTGGCTCCAGGAATGTCTAAGCAATTTCCAGACAACTGGAGCCACTTCCTCTGCCCGATTCTTCGCTTTCACCTGCTCCTCCCCCTGCCCCTGCCCCACGGCCTTGGACAAGGCTTCTTCTAATGGTCGGCTCCACGAGTGTCGTGTCTCCTCTTCTCCCCAACCCTCAACTTCCCCCCTCCCCTTTAACTTCAGTTCCCGATAATGTGGCATTGACTTGGCAGCAGTTATTCCAGTTATGTGTGCCACACTTCGTCAGACATGCAGCTATATGCTCCGGTTACTGCACTCCTGGTCCATCAATATGTTCAAGGATTTTTTCATACTTCCAGGCATGCCCATGACGTAGGTTGGCACTCGGGTTTCTCTGAAATATGAGAACAATGCGGCCAAAGAAACTAGCTTTATGCATCAGTACTCATAGTCTACAATTTTTAAACCACTCATAGCAGAGAGAGTCATATAAAAGAGCTAGCCATGTAAATAAAATAAATGTAAAAATAAAATAATAAACATCTGATTTTAATGGCAAACATGGAAGTTTACGCAACTCAGTTTAAACTTACATATGTATGTACACAGGTTAGCTGAAAAAGCAGTCCTAAAATTATTTAAAAAAATATTTTTATTCAAAGATAAGAAAAAAATACTTTCACGTAGTGACGAAGCGCACCTGGAGAATGTATGAAGGTGACTACTATATATAGCCGCAGGATAGACTATCTGCTGTGATGGTCCGATCTAAGCGATCGAAAGGTACCCAGTCGTAAATGACAGCATTCCAGCATGCGTTCTTTCATTATGAAATGGCATCAAAAAGGTGTTCCGGAAGGGATGAGTCTGTCCATTCTTTTTACACGGGTGCGGGACAAAAAAGAATGCACCCGTTGCATGCTTCTGGAAGCATATATCTGGAATGCACCTGGAAGTAACAAACTAAACACATTCTGGGTGCACTCGTTTTTAATGCACCTGGAAGCAACATACTAAACACCTTCTGGGTGTACTCTTTTTTAATGCACCTGTAACATGTACCCAGGAATGCACCTAGAAGCATTCAAAAACCAAATATCTGGAAGTTTTCCCCAGGAATACATAAAACTGGATTTCAATTTCATATTTATTTTCATTTCAATATTCAAGAACGCAACTAATTTTTAATCGGAGTAACTCCCCTGCTGTACGGTGCTTTGGTGCTTCCTTCTTGTTTATGTACTTTTGTCATTTACGCAGTTCAGTCCTTGGTGTGCCCATTTATTTTTTGAGATTCTGAAAAATATAAAGCAAATTGAATATTATATATTTTGAAATATGTGTATATACATTACAAATATACAATATGTTTATTTTGTATGTACAATTTACATAAAAATAGTTATTATTTTATTTGTTTAATATATTTTTAGTTTGAATGTTCAGTGTACATGTACTGTGTTATTTTATTGTGTTCATATTGAACTAAATTATCTACACTTTACTTACCTGTGAAAATATTGATGTAAAATTGGTGGCAGAAAGCAACAAACTTTTTCAAAACACGTGGCACGAACTTTACTTTTCAGAACTAAAAATGCAACTGATGAAAAATGCAAGAGGCAAGAAAAACCGCTCGCCTCCTTGCATGTTCCCTTTTGTCTTTATTATTTGTTTGTCAAGAGAACAGTTCCGAAAAAAGACGATTGTAAAAAAATGGGCATCGGCAACCTTCGGGTTTGAGTTTGGTTTTTTACATTCCCAAAAGACTGCCCCCAGCACGCGTGTTGCTTTGCGTAAAAAAGATACGACCCAGAACTATTTCTTTCGGAATACGTTCCCGAAACGGGTGTTTGGGCATGCTTCTGGATGCATTATTCTGAAACACTTCTAGAAGGCACCGCAATAGAATGCACCCAGCACGCACATTTGCCTTGAAAAATTGGCATACGTGCTGTTTTGGGTAAAAAAGGTACGACCCAGAACTATGTTTTTTTAAAACACGTTCCGCAACTTACGACTGGGTATCGCATAAGATAATGGGGTTGCTTAACATGACGGCGGTGAAAGTGTAAGAAGTAACGAAATTTAAGATAATAGGGGCGGTGGCGATTGAAAACCCAGGTTAATAAGCTGTTTGCATTCTTCTGCAATTATTAAGCTGATCGTATAAAAAATTACCTTTACAAAAATTAATGTCATTAAAATATTTTGCAAATCCTCACTAGTTATTTACCCTACAGGATAAGGGTTATCTGATAGTTGGGTCACTCGACTACAGAGTTCCTTTTTGTTTTTTCATAATTTTCAAATCATTGTATTTGCTCTTATAAGACAATGTCTCCTAATCTTACTCGTAAGATTTCCACACAAAAATATATTTTAAGATTACGACAAAAAAAATCGACACTACAAGACATTTTTTTTACGATTCCAAGAAATAATAAGCAAAATGTATGCTTTGACCCCGTTTTTTATGTGAACTTTGAATAGCAATCTGCAATCAAATTACCTCGAACTGCTAAAGTGATGAGGTAATAACATTTTGTTAGACTCGCATGGCTATAAAAACATGTTTCAAAGACAGAAATCGTTTAGTTATTTTTTATCATCCAGAATGGTTGCGTTGGAAGTTCTGATTGTTGGGATCGTGTTCCTGCTAAACATTGTTCAGCATTTGGCTTCCCGCCTGCCAGGTGGTAAGTATTTCTTATTTTAAAACTTATTTAATTTTTTGTTTTCTAAAAATCGGAAAGCTCTGTACATACAATGCTGCAAGGGTATAAAAACTTCGGAGTGCCAAAGTTGACTTATTTTCTTGTTTAGTTTCCGAGGTCTCAGCGTTCATATGGACGGACAGACAGACGGAGAGACGGACATGGTTCGACTCGGCTGGTGATCCTTATCAAGAATATATTTTCCGTCGGATCTAATATACCCCTCAAAACTTTATTTCAGAATTACGAAGAAAAATCGATAAAAAATGTCTAAAAATATAAAAACGTATTATATTTCGTTTTCGGCATAAAGTACTCGCAAGTAAATTCAAATGTAACATTATCTTGATATTTATGTGAACTTTCTTGAAGTCGGATAGCTCAGTTTAGCGGCAAAAATTTAGAAATGTCTAAATCTCAAAGGGCCACAGTTCCTTTGCGCCCCATGCTAAAGACATTTAAGAGATACATTTTATACCTTTACAGTTTCTTGGTGAAAAACATTTATAAAGTGTATTTATTTAGTGGATCGTAAAATAGGTGAGGTGTTTCTTTTTGATTTATTTGAAATGTATCCAATGAGTTTTTCCGAACAAAAAAGTAAACATTTTGTTTAAGGTTCATATTTCATTAGGACATACATGCATACACCATTTTATAAATGTAAGATCTTCTAATAATTAGGATAATATATATTGATCATTGCAATATTGCCTTCTCTATGTAAAACAAAACATTGTGGCTAAGGAAAAGACCAGCCCCAAGAACGAGCTTCAAAATCCCGTCTGCTCCGGACATCCCGAGTATAACTCTATCCACCACTCAATTCAAATAATTCTTTCCCCCAAAACCACCACTCAGTAGTCGCCCCACACAAAACTCGGTGTATGTGTGTACACCCTCTCAAAAGCGACTCCATGGCGAGCGGTAAACCAACAAACAAACAAACAAGCAAACACATACCGCACATGGGCCTGAGAAATTCACACTCAGTTGAAACGGAACGAAATCGGAGGTCGAGTGACTGCCACCGCGGTAAATCTCGTGGGGAACTGGTTATTTTGCCTGTGCGCCTGTTCGTTAGAGTCCATGAATCGAAATCGTGTGGCTCAAGTGACGATATTGTCTCTTTTCGATTTCGTTTTCCCATCGTTGGTTGCCTTAATTCGAAAATTAGTGTTGGTTAAGTTGCAGTCGCCCGGAAAAAGGAAGTGATATTCGTTTGAAGAAGGCACTTGCTAGCTGTGATGAAACTTGTTTTTAATATCTGGTGGCAAAACAAAATGGGCTTGGAAACTAAATACTCGCTACTCAAAAGTTGAGTGTTTGACGGGGCAAGTGGGGAGCGAGCTAGTACCGACTCCGGGTTCTTTTACTTTCTTGTTTTTCGCTCCGCTGGCGATTACATTTCGAACAACTAGAGCAGCAGCATCATTTAGGTTTAGACCGGAATTGTAACAGGCCCGCAGCTTCGATAGACCGGTTTTTCAAGTCGCCGGCGATTATTCTCGCTGTCTAGTTGTCCCGCTCCACCGAACACTAGTTGTCTCGTTTCCGCAGCAACCCCTAAAAGTATGCATTTCTCAATACTACTTTCTAGCGCCATCAATTTGAAAACTTATAGAGTGAAGGGAAAGTTTACAGGCCAGCTGCCATGGGCCATAAGATACCCTTCAGTTCCAAAAAAAAAGTTTTACTTGTGAATCACCTGGGACATGTCCTCGTGCACAAGTGAAGAACAAGTGACGCTCCATATAGAAAATTGTATGGGATGTCCGCATTTTCACAAGTGAAAATTCAAATGAAAATTTTTCGAAGTCCTACGGGATTTTACTTGTTCCTTATACTCATTTTTCGTATGGCCTGTCACGTGCCGGTGACTCGTCCCAAGTGAATCACTTGGGAAAATCAGAATTTTTCCTTGAGTTTTCACTTGTGAAGTCACTTGCAAAATGCGTTTTATTTGTTTAATTGTATATTTACCTTTTATAGCTGTGCTTAACCCTTTGCAGGATTTTTATTGGCACAAAACCTTTCGTCATCCACTTTCGGCTAACGGAACCCATTGAATACCTTCAAAATTTACGTACTATAAACTAAGATCAATGCACAACATCTTAAACTTAATGTAGCACTTACCTGACTTTATTATATTAACTAAACGATTAAAGTAACTCTGCTGCGCACCATTAAAATGGATGCTTCCCTTTCAATCACTCAAACAGAATGCACCAAGTCTTCTCACCCCTTTACTAGATTTCTTTTGTTTTCTCTTCGCTGTTGGCGCGTGCCACTGCACCTATACCCTTTCTAAAGTGAATTATATATCCGACTATATAGTTTTTACTTCTTGAGTAAAAAATACAATACGATTTTTTTTTAAAATGTTAATACTTTAATGTTTTAAATACTTAAATCAATTTTAACGGACTAAATTTCTATAACTTAACTAAAAAATTATATTGTAATAAAAATGTATAATAAGTAAATATAACATTATAAGTAAATTCAATATACTAAATTTTACTATAATCAAATAGTTTACTTTTATAAAACAATATTAGTTGTTTTTTTCGATACACAATAATGCTCCTAAAATATTAGGGCATTCACATGTCGCTGCTCCACGAAAATTTTTCCGCCGAAATATTAGTCGCTAGCCGAACATAACGGAGAGACGCAAAAAAAAATAACGGACCAGCCGAAATTTGTCTCTGCGAGCGCGGAGTGCAGGCAGATTATAAGACAAGAAAGAGAGGGAAATATCCGAATATCTGCCTCTCTTTGTTGCACGATCGTTTTCGTGGGCAGTCTTCTACGCTGCGCCGACTGCTCTGCTGACGTCAACAGCGGCACAGCGTTTTAGGCACAAAAAAAAAAAACAAAAAAAGCTTTTTGCCTTGAGCCATGTCACCGCGTCCCTACTGCAGAACTGAAGGGATGTTGGGGGTAAAAACAACAAATCAATTTTAATACCGAGCTAATTGTTATTGCTATTTAAATATTTAAAATTATAACATAAATAATAAATAAATAAAATACCACATTATAAAAATAATAATGATATTATTAATAAGTACTACTAAACAATAATAATATCGGACTATTTCTTGGCTTACAATAGATGCTTGTGGGTACAAAATAATACAAAAGTTCCTACTGATGGAAAGATAGTAAGTTGTTGCCAAAAATTAGTTGTTGTTAAGTTTTAAATGTACTTTTTTTTATCTAGAGATCATAATAACATTGCATTTCTTTTTGTTGAGATGCTCAACCATCTAATTCAGATCTAAATCAGTTTTAAATTTCAAATTGTCGCCTTATATCGATTAACTGCGCGCTCCCAGCGATACTTGCAGGCCTATCGATTGACCGATTGCACTGGGCCCCCCAAAAGGCAACCCTGCGCTCGAATCAGCTGGCTCTGCTCGGCCGAAATTGGCAGAAATACTTCAGTTTATACGCAATTCTAAAGGATTTTCCATTTTAACCGGCCTAAGACAAGGAACGACGTTCAGGCACAGTGGAAAAGATAACTGCTAAGCCCCGATCGACCAGGTCGCGGTGGATTTAACCAAGGGACTTCGTGGAAAAATGCTGTCCATTTGCGTTGCGAAATTCTGCGACAAAAACAACAAAGAAGCGACGCCTCAAATAGGAGCTACTTGAAACTAGAAATAATCAATTAAACTCGAAGCGAAGGCAAGTGTTTCCTGCGGCGGATTGCAAAAGTTGGGGAGTTCATCAGGATTCGGATTGCTACAAAGGACGAAACCAAAAGTCGCGTGAACAGCTGCAGCAGCTGCGTGGGCAGCGACGCGGGCAGAGACGCCGGCAGTGGCTGCGCAGCAGCAGCAACAACAAGCTTTTCGGCCTTTTTTTCGCCCAACAATGGAAATGCGAGAGGTCTTGAGTCGCGAGGGCAGAGAGGCGAAGAATCTGCTAGTCTACCAGTTCTGCGATGAGACAACTTCGAGTGGTGCCAGTGGCTCCGTGGGCGGAGGAGTTGGAGGAGGAGCAGGTGGCGACGGAGGAGCAGCTGTTGGCGGCGGAGGCGTTCTCTTGAACGGCGACTGTAAGACCCGCAAATTGTTGCATTTCGATATCCGGTACTTGAGGAGTTTCTGTAGTATTTTGAATACATAGTCACGATGTATTCCAATTAGCTTTGTAAATCAATGTGCACATAGAAATTGGAATCATTGTTGCGTGAGAAGACCATGAAAATTATCTATTTCTAGCCCAAGAGCCCTAATTTGTCTTGGTATTGTTAAGAATCGTAAAAGTAAAAACAGTGTAGGGCAGATATCTAGATGATTGTGATGAAACAAACTTTAAAAGATCAATGGAAACGAGGTAAACACTTGTTTAAGTTATAAAATTATAACTTTTATTATTGCATATACAATGCTGCTATGTCGCTATTTATTATTATCCAACTCGAGATAAAAACTCCGATTTTTTATAAATCTAATATTA